GAAAGGATGCCATGTGGTCACTAGAACGTGCTGGAAGAGTGATGTACCAGGGTCCCCAAAGAAACAGCTGCACTCATGCAACTGCCCAGGCTGCTCCTGGCAGTTACCACTGCAATTATACCCTTGGGAAAAAATGAAGTTTTTCTCCTGGCTTGGGCGTTCCAAGCAAGGCACAAGTCAGGTCCCTGAACCACAAGGATAATAACCACAAGGATAATAACCACAATGATGGTTTGTGCTCCTTGTGCTCACTCTGCCAAACTTGGGCTAAGCAGCACTTAGCAACATCATCACTGTTACCAACACTGTTCTCTCACTAGATCCAAAACACAGCACTGCACCAGCTACTGAGAAGAAAACTAACACTATCCCAGCCAAAACCATCTCTGAGTAGTGGAAGTTCACAGCTTGTGGCCTACGGCTTTAGCAAACCTAGCTCCTCACGCTAAGTTAGTAATGAACAAACAGTATACCAAATCACCGAAGACGATGCTGTAACCCCTGCGTCCTAATGCTAAACGATTGACTCTGAGGGATTCATTCTGTTTAAAACTTACTTATTTAAACTAAAAGACTGGTATTTCTTCACAAATGACACTTTTAGGGGGGGAGGAGAAGGTTCATTTGTACGGCCTGGAGCTGTTACTGCTGGCACTGACATCTGGTTCTATGCGAGGAGAGCAGCTGACAGGAAAGGCAGCTCCTGACTTCAGTGTCAGCCTGTGGCTGGGGAAGGCTGTAAGCAGCGCATTGTCTTACGCACTGCCCCATGATCTGGAACCCTTCTTTAGGTATCATACTATTTAATGGTTTAAATGTACCTGTCTGGCCAAAAGCTCAAAGCAGAAAGAAGTACGGTGTAGTGGTTTGATGATCTTAATTGCCAATATTTTCACTGGACAAAAGGTTAAAAGGAGAAGGAAACAAGTTAAAAATATACATGTGAGGAAGACAGGGTAAGACCTTGCGCTGCAAACGTTCAGGGCTTAAGTGCATCCAGTTGGCTTAGTGACATCTGATCACATTTAGCAAAACACCAAACATCCCTTTTTACTCTTTGGAGAGAGCAGTCTTCAAGGGCGCAGCATTTGCACTAAAAAACGCGCAAAGATAGTTTGTTTTCAGGGTGGAGAATTGTCCAAAGTACTTTTTTTCAGTCATTCAGAAAAATCTTAATGTAAAATCTGCTATTGGCTCACATCTACATTAAGACTTGACTCTGATTCTCCCCTGACAGCTCGTCTTACAACCATTCCCTTGGTTGTAAACTAGTTGTACAACATAAATCAGGAAGTAGCTTCTAACAAGTAGGTTGAGAACGGGGAGAATTTCTCAGACACAGAAATACTGAATACAGGAATATGGCTGGAATATTGAACAAGGAATTCCTCTTCCCTGAATGCACCTTGTACAGCGGAAGTCCTTTCAGGACTGTGTTGTAAGAGATCTTAGAAATTCAAATTCTTCTAACACAAAATCCAAACTGAGATCAGCAACACAGTTACAGGGACTAATGAACAGGCATTGGATCTCACTCCTAGAACGGCTCACCGCTAAAGGCTGAACTAAACCACTTGATTTAAATCTTTAAATCAGCCAAAAGAAAAGCGTGTGTTTCACCTAAAGGCAGCATAAATGCAGGACCAAACCTGGGTGTGTCTTTTTCCTTGAACTCTCAAGCCTAGTTATAAAGGTGAGTAATACCAAACGGCACGCACGTTATCATAACCCTGCCTGACTTATCGCCATTGCTCTCAAACAGACATTAAACTTCTGTCATACAGGTGAGATTTCTTCAGGAAATCAAACAATTTATTAGTGTTGCTTTAATGTTTTACTATGACTACACACCAATCATTCCAACCTGTCAGCATGTCACACACAAACCCACAGAATGTCCTCCATGGAGCATTCACAACTCCGTCTTGAGCTGGAAACCACACTGCTCCACAAAGCATCAGCAAAGTGTTAACAGCACGTCTGCAACACTGCTCAAAACTGCAAGTATCGGGTAATAGATTCTGAGGTTGCTCAACATCTATTGAGATAACACACTGTTACAACCAATAAAATAACATAAAATTTAAAATAAGGCAGCCCATATTCTTCCAGATAATACCTGGGCATAGTCCAGGAGGTGGTGGAGGCTGATGGCCGCCGTGCCGCTTTGGGGATCTGAGCCATGCCGAGCCCCTCGCCCTTCAGCCAGGCTTTGGGCCTTGCCTTTGTCTCATTTACCAGTATAGGTACAGTCTCTGGGGTTCACTCTTGCAGGTTCCAGTGACTTATACATCCACTCAAGATATATTCCATGAAAAAAAATTGAACCAAAAAATAGGAGCAAAACCCACCTCTATATGAACAAGACTTGACCTTGGTAAATGTTGTTGCAAATATTCCAGCTCAGTTTTTGGAGCAGAAGCATATAGAAAATGGTAAGACCAGAGAAGTTGTCAGAAAACAACTTGGAGAATAAAAGGAACGCAAAGAAAATTCAGCCCAGTATCTTTTCGTACTGGTCTACATGATGCTACTGCTCTGTACTTCCAATTGCAAACACCTTGCACACTTCTGCTTAATAGTCAAGAGGATTCTGGAAGAAAAACAACTGTGGAAGGTTCAGCTTGACCTAAAGTAGCAGAGCCAGAACACAAGGCAAACATCCGGCCTAATCCTGATGTCCAGTTTCATTCAGATCACCGTGTAGGGTGAAGTTAAAGAAAAGCTTAGAAACCTTTATGTATCAGTGAGTTCTATTTCTCTATCAACATGAAACAGATTCTGTTGGTTTTACATTTCTCAATCGTACCCAGCTCCTGTGAATTTCCAACACCTGACAGGAACCGAACACCACCTGCAATCAGCTTTTGAGAGCCACTGCTTCTCCACGCAGAGGTGGGTAGTTGTGAATCCAGAGCTTAAGAATTTGACCCACAGAAGCCAGTCTAGACCTTCAGTGACATTTTTTTGCATTTGTAGGCAAACGTGAAAGCTAACAGCCTTTGTCATTTGCTCAACTGAAGAAAAAAAGCAATCTTCAAGTGATGTTTAGACAAAATACCATCAAGGTAACATGGAAATTAATTTTAATAAGTACTATGAAGACAAAGCAGAATGTTTACTCTTAAACAGACTATCATAAAATGCTGTGAGATCGAGGCAGTGAAACATATAGCCAAGAGATGTAACCGGAGCAGGATCTGGATGTATTCCTTACAGCTTTAAAGGTGTATGCTCTGCCCTACCAACATGATCGATTCTTACTCAGCCTGAGTATTTCTGATCAACAAAAACTGACCCACCTGGCGTATCTATAGTGACAGTCCAACTGATATGGCTAGTGTACTTTGGTTCCTACTGTCATAAATGTTTTGCATTACCAGTTACACCCAAAGGAGTTCAAGGCCAAGCCCAGTTCACAGCATTCTCCTGCAAAAGCCTTCTGTTCTGAATGCAGATCATTTTGGGTTAGAAGATGCATGTTTTCAGAACAGCTAAATGTGACAGCTTAACTCTGCCTTGACCCAATACCATTCAGACTGATCTGTAGCACAGTAACTTAAATAACTTAGCAGTATCGGTCCCCTGATATCCCAGGTTAGGTGTTCTCAGAAACACAAAGACATTTCCAATATTGAGTTTCATGCCTCCAAAGCTCAGTGTCTCACCAATTTCCTCGCCCCAAGGTTGAAGATCAGTACATCCAGCAGCTGTTTTCACTAATACCTTACTAGATGTACATTAATAATACACTAAAGTACTGTCAGTGCAATGCCCCAAGGAACTGCACCTACATGCTGTCCCAGTGCACGCCTGCCACATGCTTCCCTCCGGCACCGCCAACCCCCTCAGCAATCAGCTTCTTCCCTTGCTTTCCACTTTATCTCCGCATTTTCTGTATCAAAAAGATACGCCGTAGTCAGTTTAGGAACCCCAGTGTGATCACAAGTAGGATGGTTGGGTTTCCTCATCCCTGAACAAAGACAGCTGATCTCCTGTTAATGAACGTAACACCCGGGGCCGTGACTGAACACCCAGCAGTGGAACTCGTTAGCTGGCAGTCTGTCTGGCGTATTGACGAGGCAGGAGGGGATACTGGTTTCATTTAACTTCAGCCCTACGGGAGGGCTGGAAGCTAGTTTTGCTGGAAGCTTGATCTCCTCACCTCCTGTCACTCTATGGACCTCAGCATCTCATACCTGAACTAAAGTGGGCAATAATTTCCAATTTCCAACGATTTCCAATATTCTGGTTCCTGTTACTGTAGTTCTGGATGAAGCAATACTCCTGCTTAATTTCAGCTGCACTCACAGCTGGAGTACAGCTTGTAACAGTTTTCTAATCCTAAATGAATGCATATTCAGTGAAGCAAACTACAACATTCGCTTTCCAATTACAGCATGAATATTGTGCCGTGCTTCCTACAAAATCAATTAACATGGTAGTTACAGATGGCTCCTTTATACACTTTATACACATTTATACACTGTTCTCGACTGCCCTGAGGCCCGCGCCTTGCTTACTCTGCACAAATACGTACTTGATTGCAAATATAAATATTTTAAGTCTCTTCTCACATATACTCAACTCTCATCTAGTTCCATACACTGCAGAGGGGGTAAGAATCTGCTTGTTTGTTCAAAAGGACTATAGAGGGTATGCCTGCGGTGCCCTGTTATAAATGATTCAACAGTTTATTTGTGCTGTATCTTTAATTTAAGATAATAACAAAGGAAGCCAAACGACCTGGGGAGTTTTTCTCAAGCACAGACGAACAGATGAAAACCCCTTTACATTACACGGAGTCTGGGGGCAATAAGCTGTGTGCTCTTTGTGCTGACACCAGTTACATGACGTGTCAACAGAGGTGGGGTTTATAGCCACTGTGCTTCCTCCCTGGACACGGTATAAAGGTTTACAGAGCACACACCGCTCTGCACTTCAGCTGCTCTCGACCTGTGTAGACTTAGCCGTTTCATTTTAGACGACGAAGAACAGAAATGGCGTTCTCTAACCAAAGCTTCCAGAAGGGTCCAAGCTCCCACGTCTATCCTACCTCACCCAGTGTCAGTGGTGTCACCTCCTGGAAAACAGGCATCCAAAAGATTCAGGCACCTAGCGTCTACGGGGGAGCTGGGGGCTATGGCACCCGCATTTCTACCAGCACCGGCTACGGACAAGGCTTCAGGGGGAACTTCCGCCTTAATGTCACTGGTAACGATGTGCTGCTCACTGGCAATGAAAAAGCAACTATGCAAAACCTAAATGACCGTTTGGCTTTGTATCTGGAGAAGGTGCGTTCTCTAGAAAAGGCAAACTCCCTGATTGAAAAGCAGATCATGGAGTGGCATGAGAAGAACACTATCAGAGTAAGGCATGACTACAGCTCATACTTTGAAACACTTAAAGATCTCCAAAACAAGGTAAGTTATCATAAAGACATCTATAAACACAGGAATTGCAATTAGGGGGAGATAGATAATAATCTATTGTGGAAAATGTACTTTTCCAAATTGCAATTGTCTCAGCTGAGAAAAATTAATGCTTTATTTTGATCAGATGCAAATCAGTGACAGATTTTACATCATTTGTAATACTAGATATATGTCTGCAGATGCAAGGAATCTCATACATGAAAAATCTTTGGATCAAAATAAATGAATTCTATTTGTCTTAGGTAATTTTAAGTAGTGAAAATACTGATGGCAATTTCCATATTTATAGTTTAGCATCTGTGGATTTCAAAGCGTTTTTTTAAAACAAACTGCCAAATGCTCAGAAAAAAATAATAGATCACTACTTGAAATAGTAAATTACCATTGTAACTAAACAATTAAATATTCCCACAGCAATCAGCTGACGGATTTGTCAAATTATGTTTCAAGTGAACTACCTTAAATCTTTCCCCTCTGACTTTCCACCAGTTCTATCTCCCAACTTTCAAAAGCAGATCCCTTCCAGGGAGCAGTTCATCCCAACTACTTTATATACCTATTTTATGGCAGGATAACTTGCCTTTTGGAAACCCCAAATTCCTTCTATGCACTTCAAAAGGAATGCAACTTAAACCTAGATGACTAACAGACAGCTAAATTTAAGTGAGATGAAGCCCACATGCAGTATTCATTTCCAGAAATGGATCAAATGTGCATTTATGAGCAAAGATTCATCGCTTTTTAATCATTCCTTTTTAGATTGCTGCTGTACAGTTGGAAAATGCAAGGCTTGTCCTCCAGATTGACAATGCCAAACTGGCTGCTGATGACTTTAGACTGAAGTGAGTTCCATGATCATTTCATAAATTCTCTTTCATGCTCCTCTTATTCATTCAAAGAATGAATTCATATTCAAAGCTTCTAGTTATCGGTATCTATTTACTATTAGCTGAGAAGTAAACATTTTCTAACATAAAGTTTAATTAAAAGAAAAGTTCTACAACTAAGGCTGTAGTAGTTACCGATTCCAAGATTTACATCCAACAGTTACATTTTCGTGAGGACAAAACATGTCTTGTATTTTACAGGTATGAGAACGAGCACCTGTTCTGGCAAGGTGTCAAGAGTGACATTAACGGACTGCTCCAAGTTCGTGATGACTTGACTCTGAATAAATCTGACTTGGAGTCACAGGCTGAAATGATGACTGAAGAACTAGCTTTGCTTACGAAGAACCACGAGGAGGTGAGGGCAGGCTTTTTTCAGTGGCTTACATAAACTTAGACAGAGTAGGAATAATGAAGACTTCATGGTTAATCTGAAAGAATATTATGCTTATGGTGGAATTCAGCTCCAGACTAGCACATCAAAACTTAGGTACCTACTCGTACCATTACCTACGTGCATGTGCCTAGGGCTCTACTATAAACAACTGAGAGAGAGTCAGTAAAACAGACATAACGTAGAGAGTGACTCAGCTTCCTGTAGAGCAAAGACCAATTGGCTGGTCAGCTAGGTCACTCTGGTCTCTACTGATTTCAACAGGAACCCTAGCTCATGCTGAGATACCTACAAGTTAACTAAGTGTACTCGGTATCTCCCAGGAGTCTAAACTCAAACTGAACCTCACACTTAGAATAGTTCCAAAGACCTCCAAAGGTAAGGATCTTACACAGCCATTGCTTATTTCCACTTCTCAAGTAAAGACACAAGCTGAAATCCTAAATTCAAAATGACTATTAAAAAAATTTCAATTATGGCATACGCCCAAGCTTTTCTTGCAGTGTCCTTCTACTAACTTCAGAAGAGTACATGCCTCATCACACCGCGGGCAGGCAGTATGTTCTTTAAGCACGGTGTTACAAAGATCCAATCTGGAAGCACAGCCAACCTAGCCACTGACTTACACATTGTGCTGTGCAGGACCAAAGGATTTGCTCCTGTTCTGGAAGCAGTGTGTGGCACCAACTGACATCCACGCTATCCAGCATCAATTTTCGCTCCAGAAACTAAGGAGCGAAGGTTTTCTTTAAGAATAATCAGTGGTTTAGGAGTTGCTATCCCACAAAACTACACAAATGGGAACAGTGACTTCTACCCTCATTCCATAGATCTGGTCCTGAGGAAATCATCTTTTGATAATCTGTTTATCTATGAGATAGCATTTATTGATACAAAGTAAGTAAAACATTAGAACATTAGATATCAGGAAAAATTTCTTCCCAGAGAGGGTGGAGAGCACTGGGACAGGTTGCCCAGAGAAGCTGTGGATGCCCCATCCCTGGGAGTGTCCAAGGCCAGGCTGGATGAGGCTTGGAGCAACCTGGTCTAGTGGAAGGTGTCCCTGCCCATGGCAGGGGGGTTGGAACTGGATGATCTTTAGGGTCCCTTCCCACCCAAACCATTCTATGACTCTATGAACATGAGGTGCACTCAACAAGGAGATTAAGTTATCATGCCCTGAGGTGCTATTTAAGAATTACTTCTATGTCCGTAATTTTGAATTTGCTTCCAATATTCAGGATTGAATTTCCGGTATTCCCTGTAGCTGATGCTAATACACCTCTCATTGCTGTAGGAGGTCAACAGACTGCACAAGCAGACGAGCGGCTCCATTAACGTAGAGGTGGATGCTGCTCCACGTACTGATCTCTCAACTATTATGGAAAACATGAGAAAGCAATATGAAGAAATGGCAGAAAAGAACCGGCAAGAAGCCAAAGAACGATTTGAAAAGCAGGTAAGGCCAATTACTTAAACAGCAGGAGGAACCTCAGCCGTGTCTAGCTGCAGCTGACAATCCCTCCATGTTGCATTGCAGACAGAACAACTGACCTACGTCGTAGCCACCAATGTCGAACAGCTGCAAGCCCAAAGGAAAGAGATCACCGACCAGAGACACATCTGCCAGCACCTGGAGCTGGAATTGCAGACCCAGCTTAACATGGTAAATAATAAAGCGTGCTTGAAACAATGACTGTGGTTAGTGACAGTTACAAGGGTAAATATAGAAACTGAGAGGCTTTTCAATCAAAATGTTATTCTAAACCAAAAATGCACCCTCCTGAATAACATGTCTCGGTTCTTTTCATCGGCTGTAGAAAAAGACTTTAGAAGGCACGCTGGCTGACACTGAAGCACGTTACCAGTATCAGCTAGCCCAAATACAGGCAGCAGTTGCCCATGTAGAGGCTCAGCTGAGGCAAGTCCGAGCTGACATGGAGGGTCAGAACAACGAGTACAGTATATTGCTGGATATCAAGACGCGCTTGGAGATGGAGATCGCCACGTACCGCCGCCTGCTGGAAGGAGAGGACATCGGGTGAGGAAATACACGCACGTTGCTTGTCGGTTGAGTTTTGTATGACAGCAAACACCACTGCAAATGCTATGTTCACAGAAGGTGGAAGTGTAAAATCGGCCGCTTCCCAACTAGTTTGGGGTGGGGGGCAGTCTGCTGCCCAGCTCTCAGCTGCAGGTTCAGCGCAGGCTGCAGTTCGTGCTCAGTTTCAGAAGCTGCTGCGGAAGGGCTGCTGTGTTTGTCTCTCCCAGCCTCTGCACAGGCACATACTGTTACTCTTTGTGAGCAGAGTAGCTGGATAGATGTTCAGACCCCATAAGCATCAGTAATTCAATTTTGGATTGATTTGTCCATAAGTGTAATAACTGTAGCTTCTGCAGGCCTGGGCTAATCTAGGTTAGACATTTTTTAACCTGGTTTAGACAGCGCAGCACCCAGTCGCACTAGAGCAGCCACTCAACAAGGGCCTATGGACCTTCTCTTGCACTCCATGGCAAGCTCTGCAGCCTGCACTGTATTATGCTCTGCTCTACCTTGTCACTAGTAGCCAAGCTACTTAGAAATTTGAAGAGGCGCAAGCGAGCTGACACTGAACATTCAGGTAGTCCAGTATCCCATATTCTGCAGTGAAAAGAGTAGGCATCGGTGAAAGGGGGCAAGCAGAGAGTGGTATCTGCTCCCCGAGGGTCTGTCTGCTCAGCTCTTCTGGCTCAGGCACTAGATTGGGTGTATCTGCATGAGCTGAAGTCACAGCATTGCAGAAATGAGTCTGCAGATTAATTTCACCCATATCTTATGCCCAGCAAGTATTATTTTAACAGAGGAAACTCATTCAAACACCTGGTTAAATGTCTTGGTGAAAGGACGTTACTGCCTTGATTAAACGTGCAAGGATGCTTCGTCAGTATGTTAGGGGGCATACATTTATACTGTCTATTTTACAATTTGAACAGATGTTTGCAAGTGGAGGTATCCTCAGCAGAGCTTGAAAAAGGTATGGCACACTAACTTCCTTATTTTCTGATGGCTGCCTGTTGAAACGTTGTGGCACTAAGTTGCCTGGTATAACACCATAGTTTCAGAGCAAATAATCAACCAGTGGAATCTTACATCAAGAAAGCAAATAACTGTATGAATAGGTAACCTACAGGGATTATACAAAGCCTGGGTTTAGGTATGTAATCCAGGGGCTCAGAGAAAAACCACAGGCTCTTCAGAGAGCCACCGGAACGGCACAGAGCTCTTGAATTTCCCTCTGGAGAATTTCAGCAGCATCTGCTTGTCTCCCCTGATGACACAGGGAGACTCAGCTCCTCAAGAAATTATCTGGTTTAATAGCAAAAATACCCATTTGGGCGTAAGACTATTCCTAGGTTTTAGGTCTACAAATCTGTGCTAAACTGAAGCAAAACTATGAGGAGGGGCAGAGAGTCATTCAGCACCGTGTTACAGAAGTCTGGGTAACGTACAGGACATGCAGAGGAAGAGAAGCCATGTCCTGCATACCCCAGAAGTTCACCTCACAGTAACTGTGCACTGAACAGATGCCCGCAGCTATTTTCTCAGCACTGCAGTAATGTTATTCTGTCCATACACACTGCGTTTCATTAATTCTCTATTCATTTCCATTACTAGAATTAAGTAAAGTTAGGAAGATCAAGACCATTGTTGAAGACGTGGTTGATGGCAAGGTTATCTCCTCGGAGATCAAAGAGATTGAAGAGAAGCTGTAAATGGCACCAGCAGAGAGGAGACGGCCTCTGAGCTTCCTGGAGCTGATGCCAAAACCAGAAGATTAACCTTCCCAAAGAATCCAATCTAATTCCCCATCAAACCCAGAAGGGTTGAAAAATGCCAAAACTATCACATCTCAATCTTTTTCTTTTTTCTTCTTTGTTTTGTGTGAGAATGTTAATAAAAATCAGTACGTTACGAAGCACAGATTTTGGGTTTACTTACATAGTGACTAAATACCTTGATGAAAAAAACCCAACAACAAATCAGCCTGTTGTACAACTGTTTCCAAGACACTGAAGTATTAGTTTTTACTTACATCAGAGTCTTACAATGGCATTAAAAAGCACTAAGTGGGTGAAGGTCACGAGACGAAGACAAGGGACAGAACAATTTCTGCACAGCAATGGACTTTTCCGAAAGCACCACGGGAACAACTTCTACATTTTTTCAGACACTTCAACATCCGGTGCCTGAAGTTGTCTCACACTTTCAACATATTCATAAAGGAAAACGTTTAGATGAGAGCTGCTATTTCTGAAACCATGATGGACACCTCATCAAAACTTCACCAAAAGGAATTTCCCACATACAGGCGATGTACACGCTACCAAACACATTAGTCTCGTTGCAACCCAAAGCGTAGCAAGCTGGTTTTTCTGCCATGCACTAGCACGTTTAGGGTAGATTTCTTTTTTAAAATGCACTAAAATGCTGATTCAGTGCACCTTTTCTGAACCTGAACTACCATTCAAATGGAATGCAGCTTCACTCCAGTAAAAACTGATTTTCAAATAAATAAGTAGCATCAGTTCACATTTCATAATAAATTAAAATGAATAAATGAATTGAAGAAGCCTATTCAGTAATTTTCTGTCTCTCTGAGTGTTTATGTCACCAGGGACTGTAGCAAGCAAAGATATTTTATCAATAAGCACATATTTTGCCTTTCAGTTCAGATCAACCCTTCCCCTACCGATAACCGCATGTACCCTTTCCCATACAGTGCGAGTCTCCTGCGCCACACCCAGACCTTCAGTCTGAGGGCTCTATGTTTTCCTCTTGATAACATAAACACAAAAAGCTCTTCCTTTTGAAATCTCACCTGTCTAGTGTGTTATTTACTGTACATCAACAGCTGCCAAATAAAATAATCCTTTGCTTGCATGGTCATGAGTCACGGGCTATCAATTCATTTCTACATAAATGCTTTACTTAAACCTTTGATCTGCTGCTCATAATACGTTTCTGCCCCAAAAAGCACCCATGCTCCTGCATGTAGATAAATTAAAAATGAATCCATTTCAGTTGGCAAATCCTAAAATGTAATTAAGCCAGGACAATTTTGTTCGCCAAAATAACTTCAAAAGAGAAGTATATTGGTTTGGAAGGGTTCCCATGCCTAAACCTGCAACCAGAAGAGCTGTATTTGATCTTTAGATTTATATTATGAAAAGCACAAAATACAGAAATCATTTTCCTTATTTTGATATAGTGGCAAACTATTTAGAAGAAAGAATGGTTAGATTGCAGCTCAGAAGTACAAACTGTTGGTATAGGCTCTGCATACACATGGAGATAGTTCAGTGATGAAAGGTTCAGGGCAGAATACACAATTACAAAGTAAATTTGGTATAATCAAGTATATTTATGTTTTCATATTAATGATCAACCTGCAGATCACGGAATGTCCATCTGTCTCTTCTTTGATCACTTTTCTCACTTCTTATCAAACATACAGGGAGTGGAGGTTCATGCCAGGAAAGTCTTATGAGAAGAAACACCTTGTTGACACGTACACTGGGAAGCGTGCTGCAATGGGATCATTCCACTGACTTAAGCATCCTTCTATAATAACATCCTCGAACCAAGAACGCAATATGTTATGACAAAAAAAATTATTTAGGAAGGATTTAAATGCTAAAAGAAATGTTTGTGCTCCGTTGCACATGACAAAACATGATTGTGATGTCTTAGCTCCACTCCACCCTTTTCCCCTCATACAGCGAGCAGCTGGAGGGCACCACATTTCCACTCCCATTAGCAATTTAGATGGGCACATAGCATTTACTTGGGTCAGGACATAAACTGACTTCCCCTCCAAACAAGAGAGAGAAAGAATTAAAGATCATCCCAGGAGGTGGGGACTGCTGCTGAGACACCCACTGCCTTCCCTACATAAAGGTGAAGCTCTTCTCTCGCCTGCCCTGCTCTGGGTTATTCTCTCCACACAACAGACCTGGGCACCTTGGCGCCATGGCCTTTTCTGTGCGCACCAGCGGCGGATCCCGGCAATTCTCTTCTCTCAGCGGCCTTGGCGGGGGATCTCTGAGAATGGCTGGTTCTAGCGGCGGCGGAGGCTTTGGTGGCTCAGGGCTTGGATTTGGTGGTGGAGCTGGCGGAGGTTTTGGTGCTGCTTCTATGCTTGGTTCCGGCTCTGGCTTCAGTGGGGGCTTTGGGAGCAGCGTAAGTGGAGGCTTTGGGGGTAGCTATGGAAGCGGCTTAGCCAGCGGTTTTGGAGGAGGTTTAGGAAGTGGGTTTGGCTCAGGCACTGGTTTTGGAGGTGGCTTTGGTAGTGGCTCAGGATCTGGGTTTGGAGGTGGCTTTGGTAATGGCTCAGGATCCGGGTTTGGAGGTGGTTTTGGCACAGCCGGAGCTGGGGATGGAGGCCTTCTTTCTGGCTCAAAAAAAGAAACTATGCAGAACCTCAATGACCGTCTGGCTGCTTATCTGGACAAAGTACGATCTCTGGAGGATGCCAACACCGAGCTGGAGCGCAAGATCCGCGAGTGGTATGAGAAAAACGGCCCTGGCACTGCTATCCCTGGATCTGGGAATGACTACAGTAAATACTACCCTGTAATTGAAGATCTTCGAAACAAGGTAGCAAAGCAATGTACTTAATGTATCTTCACACTTGAAATTCACCTCACCATATTTTGGATAAAAATAACAAATTCCTACAGCAACCTACAGTCCCGGCTGCAATAACCCCTGTTGCGTAGCACTGGTGTCATCTGTTGACTTTTTCTTGTGGATGAAGGGCAGTTCTGTAGCTGTATCACACGATGCTGTGTGACTTGGTCTAATCTGAATAAAGCAGAAGGCAGTGATGGAATCCAGTTTTACAGACTCTTGTAGGAGTTTAAATTGTAGTAAGTTTTGTATTTCTTAGATCGCAAACGCAGCTCCTGAAACAGGCAGACTGCCTGGCAAGCTCCTCAGAGATGATGAACCATTGAGTCACAGAACGCAAACCAGTGAAGTGAAGCACGCTGACTTGCAGAAGCTGAGATCTGTCCTACATATGTTCATAGAAAATTATAGAAGAGTCCTACAAATTACATCTAATATTACACTCATATTTAGGATTAAAGTCATGTAAGTGCTATACTGAGCTGCAAAGCCGTTCTCTGAACACTGTTTGTTTGTTTGTATTCCAGATCATTAATGCAACCATCGACAATGCGAGAATCATTCTGCAGGTCGATAATGCCAGACTGGCTGCTGATGATTTCAGGCTGAAGTAAGTATATTTTAATATTACTAAAATCTTACTAATATTTAAAGGAAAAAATTATTTTGTATTTTAAAATCTTGTTCCTTGCAGAACACTTTAAGATAATTATTAAACAGTATTATAATAACGACGTGTTTTAAGATTTCATATTAAAAGCTACATAAGTAGACAGTCATCGTTTCCACTTGACCTTGTTAACCATGCAAAAAACAAATCATATTTAATTACTTTATTTACAGATATGAGAATGAAGTGGCCCTTCGCCAGAGCGTGGAAGCTGACATCAACGGTCTGCGCAGAGTTCTTGATGAGCTGACCTTGACAAGAGCAGATTTGGAGATGCAGATTGAAAGCCTGAATGAAGAACTGGCTTATCTCAAGAAGAATCATGAAGAGGTACTTTTTTTTTTCTTTGTGAAGTCATAACAAGGCAGAAGGAATTGTGAAATATCAAATTATTCCCTTATTTATGCCAGTGGGAGTTCCTTGTTTTGTTTGTTGTTCTTTTTTGAGTTTACTAAGTGAAAGAGTGAAAGAAATGTACACACACAAGCTACAGGTCCCTGTTGAAGTGAAATTTACATCACATATATTTCTTTACCTATATTTTTGGGAGAACTATTTTGCCTTTTATTAACAGAAGCTTTTCTTTTATTTTAAACATCTGCAGGAGCTTCAGGGCATCCAAAGCAGTGCCTTTGGCCAAGTCAGCGTTGAAATGGATGCTGCTCCGGGAACTGACCTGACCAAGCTTTTGAATGACATGAGGGCACAGTATGAAGTCATTGCTGAGCAAAACCGTAAAGAGGCTGAAGCATGGTTCAATGAAAAAGTAACAACCAGAGATAGCAAATTCAGTGAAATGCATGTAAAAATGAGCTCAATATTTGAAACAGTAAAGCTACACTCTCTTCTGCCTTTTCATTTCAGAGTGGGGAGCTGAAAAGGGAAATTTCCACCAACATGAGGGCACAGTATGAAGTCATTGCTGAGCAAAACCGTAAAGAGGCTGAAGCATGGTTCAATGAAAAAGTAACAACCAGAGATAGCAAATTCAGTGAAATGCATGTAAAAATGAGCTCAATATTTGAAACAGTAAAGCTACACTCTCTTCTGCCTTTTCATTTCAGAGTGGGGAGCTGAAAAGGGAAATTTCCACCAACACTGAGC